GCATAATAAAGTTAAAAATGTAAAATACAAAATCGAAAATTTTCACACAAAAATAGCATTCGGTAGCCATTTTCACCCTGAAGATAAAATAAAGTCCGATATTTTTTTTTTTCACGATAAAGTATATTACATTAGCTTTAATTTAAGATATATATAAAAGTGTCAGACCTTCCGGAACACTTTCAAAAGTTAAGTTGAAAAAATTAATTTTTTGTAAAAAAGTTGTCATTTTAAATCCCCCCCTATAGGTAGGTAAAAAGTCAGATTTATAAAAAAAATATACCAAATAATAGGTAATGACACCATGCATCTATAAAAAAAAGAACTATATTGATATATTTATTTTTAAAAAAGTTAGTTTTTTAGTTAGTTAGTAGCAGTTTTTAGTAAAAAAAATTGAAAAAATTTCGAAAATTAGCCATTTTTAAATTTGTAATTTTTTNAAAGAAATGGTGAATCAATTTAAAATTTTACAATATATCTTTTTTACTTAAAATATTATTTTAATTATATTTTATAAGAAACTTTTTGTTGTAAATTCGACCATACGTAAGATACAAAAAAAATAATAGAAAAAATCGATTTTGTAAAATAATTAAATTATTCTATTTTTTAAATTTTGCAGACCAAATAATGGTCTAATCAGGAAATGTCATAACATATTTTAAAGAACAAGTTTAGATCTACAAATTAATACTTGAACACTTTTTTGTACGATTTTTTGTTATTGAAATATAAGCAAAAAACTATAAAACTACCCCATTTATCAAATTTTCAACCCTTTTGCGGCACGGGAAGGGGTTGACCAATCACGATTAAACTTCACCAAAATGTTTTATTTATACTAATAAAAAAATTTAGGGGGTCCTGTAAACAAAATTTTTAACTTCAAATTTGAGGATCACCCTAATATATATACATATACATATGTGTGTTTATTTAGTGTAGGACACAATTCATTTATAAGATTTCTGGATAAAAGACAAACAAGGGTCAAATGCTATAAGAAAAGAACTATTGTGTCAACAATTGTGAAAAAGAAAACTCGCGAAAAGGTAAATTTTGAAATCTAAATATCGTCAAAATTATAAAAACATTTAAATCTATTCCAAACATTCATTATTTTTGCCGAATATCAAACTTCCGATTCCTTCTGACCAAACCAACTATGAGTATCTTCTCTCATCTTATCCATGATTGACGCTACACTTATATTCCCTCTTATACGTTCGTTCTTATCCTAAATTTTTTAGTCACTCCATTCAACAATCTAAGCATCTCATCTCTGGTCTACTTTCTTATCAACCGCCCAACACTCTGAACCATACATCATAGCTGGTCTCACTATGCTATCATACATTTCTTCTGTAATATTATTTTGATACTTAGTTAAATTCAAACGTCTCGTTGGCGATTGCCAGTGACATGTCGACTGAGGCGTATAATAGTTTAATTTTGTTTGCATGGTCCTTACCGAAAAAGCCATAAATGAGTTCATACAGCTGCACGTATGAATTAGCAATATACAACGTATTACTTATCATTGTTTGTTTACACAAATCAATTCTCGTTCCGCGTTGTAAAGGATATCTTTCTTTTTAATTAAATAACGTATTTCATCACATAAAATTTTATTACAATGAATCATTGTAACAGACCTGGGAGCCCTCTGGGGTCTGGTCAGCCTTTGACAATCCGTTGAAGAGACACTTCTATTTTTTCTTTTCTAGCGTTCAGACTTAAGTGCTCAGCTTTACTCTTTTTACTTTGCGGTCTTTTTATCTGTCTTACTTTGTGACTTGGTGTCTTTATTCTTAATATAATTTAATAGTTTAACTTAATGTAAATTCATGTTTGAATGACTATCAATTATAATACATGCTTATATAACAAACTATTTTACTTCTTATTTAATATATAATAAATCTAAATCACTTATTCTTCTCTCTACACCGTAAAACAAGATTTGCAGTCAAGATATATCAGGTAAGAATATTTTAACACACTAACTACAATTAATAGTAATAACTAATAAAAATACTTTAATTTATAATTAATTATTCTCTTCTTTCGTTTAAATATATCTTCATTCTAACTTCACACATCTAACGTTCTCTTCTATTCATTTATTTATACTATCTACCTTCACTCACACTCGCTCTCTTTTTAACACGCTTTTATTAGTTTCACGTGTATGTTTGTTGTTTGTTTGTAAGTTTGTAACTCTCCAAACGCCACGCGTTATCGCATATTCCGTTGTCTAGACTAGACTGTTATACGCATTCACCCCTCCCCACGCCTCGCTCACAATACGACGGTACACTATTCCTATAAAAATTTATTTTTAGTTATCGTACCCGTACACGCGTGCTTGTCATCAATATTATATATATGTAAACAAATTTTTATTTTGACTGACCAATAACGCCCGCGTCTAATGCGCCTTACGTATATATATATATATTCCTACCGCCGTTTATACCTCGGGTATAACGTTAGTCCGACCCGCCCGGCCATAAAACACAGCTATACTTAGTGCATGATACTTTTACGTAGTTAAGTCGCATTATTTGTATAAATATATATATTCTAATTACTATTAAAATTAATATATTAACACGATTTATTCTAATTAAGAGATATAAAGTATTCATTCCGATTACGAGGGATGATTTCCGTATCGTCATTTTTCGTCACTACCTCCACGTTCCGGGAGTGAGTAATTTACGCGCCTGCTGCNTATATGTATATGTTAATATTCATTTATATATTCCTACAGCCGACGCCTCTGCTGCCGTATATTCCTCGTGTATAATGTTCTCTCCGCCATGCCCGCCCACATAAACACGGCTATACCTCATGCATGATACGTTTACGTACTTAAGTCCCTTTAAATATATATATATTCTAATTACTATTAAAACTTATATATTAATACACTTTATTCTCATTAAGAGATATGTAGTGTATTCATTCCGATTACGGAGGATGATTCTCGTATCGTTATTTTTCGTCACTACCTCCACGTTACGCGCCTGCTGCTTTCCTTGGATGTGGTAGCCGTTTCTTAGACTCCCTCTCCGGAATCGAACCCTTATTTCCCGTTACCCGTTACAACCATGATATTGATATTAACTACTATCATAACATGAAACTAAAAAGTGAAAAATAAATATAGTTAAAAAAAACTAAAAAACACGCTTTTAAAGCACATCGAACTAAAAAGTTAAAAATAATTTTTAAAATTAACTTAAAACAATAATGAACGAAAAATACTAGTATTATTGTGAAAAAAAGCGTGGGTGCATTATGCCATATTTTTTGTATATTGAGCGCCTGACGCTTTTTTTCACAATAATACTAGTATTTTTCGTTCATTATTGTTTTAAGTTAATTTTAAAAATTATTTTTAACTTTTTAGTTCGATGTGCTTTAAAAGCGTGTTTTTTAGTTTTTTTTAACTAAATTTTTTATTGGTTATTACACTTCTATTATATTAATGTACCTTTTCGGGACTCTTTTTCTAATTAACGCCCACTCTAAATTCTCTCTCGGTATTCTATCATACGCTTTCTCCAAATCTATAAATACCACACACAGCTTTTTCTTCTTTTCCCTAAACTTTTCTATTAGTTGCCTCACACAAAATAATGGCTCCATAAATAGCTATATTATAGCTATTTATATATCTTGGACATATACTCTTCATTTGTTGCATTTTTTTTTAAATATTGACTCTTAACGTGCCCAAAAATATTTAAAAGATAGATTTTTTTTAGAAAAAATAAATTTTTCAACTTAACTTTTAAAAATGTTTTGATAAATCTGACAATTTTGTACATAGCTTAAATTAAAGCTTATGTAATATACTTTTTTTTGAAAAAAAAACTGTGTCCTCAGAACTTATCTTCTAAGTGTAAATGAACATCAAAGTTGAAGAAAAAAGAACGAGTTTTATCAAAAATTGTATAATTTCTTAAACATTTTAAAATTAAAACTTCAGTATTACGGCATTACTTTTTGAAATATTAATGGATAAATAAAAATTTCATTAATACAGGGTGTTTAAGGGGGCTCCCCAACGAAAGTTTGAACTCTTACAACAATTTTAAATTACTATTGACATTTTGAAATATTTATGAATCAGTATAAAATTTTACAATTATAAGGAGTGGGGTCAACCCCCCTCGAAGTAATTGAATTATTCACGACTTTTTTAGATTGGTTTTTGAAATATGAGTGTTGGGGGCTACTTCCAGTTTACGAATTGTTTGAATTATTTCCGATGTTAATTTCTATTTGCGCTACTGATTAAATAAATTGTTATTGTGTTATAATTCTAAATCGTACAACTTTTAATCGGGATATAATTAAGTAAATATGAGTTAATTTTACTTTTAAAATAATCAAATTTAATCTAAAATTTTACACTATCCAACCATAACATTCACGTTCGATTGCTCTTGTCGAACCTTATTCAGTCTTGACGATCCAGAATGTTTTACTTGTGACAGACCCACCAAAGTCCTTTGATAATATTTCACACACTTTATTTCATTTTTTATGCAAAATTTAATACAAATCCATATTTTTTAACAAACGAAGATCGCCGACTTCATAAAAACGCGCTAACCTTAGCAGCTTCCACTAACAAAGTAAAAAATGAATTCAGCTGAAAATATTATCATACTTCAGCAACATGTGAACCAACATTATAAAAAATTTTTGGATAATCAGACTCTCCAAACCCGCGAAATTTAAAAATTCCTATTATTTACTGAACACACCTCGTTAAGCAGTAATAACAGTTCGTAGCGTATAAAGGCCTACCTATTGGTCATGAATATTACTAATTGATTATATTGCGGCCTCTAGTGAAAGAGTATAATACTATCAAGAATTTTATATGTATTTATCATTGTTACCACAATCTAATAATGATAAGAAGTAGATCAGAAACTGATAGCTTCACACATATCAAATAAAATATACATAAAATGTCCATAGAGTATTACTCTATGAAAATGTCTCAATACTCGTATTTTAAAGATAGTTCATCTTAATTTATGATAACCATTATTATCAAATATCCAAAATATAGTTATTATGTATAACTTTATTTTTCATTATTTAACTTGTACTTTAAGAAAGTATTCATTTTATTTCTATTAGTTTACGTTAAAAAAAAAAAAAACTGTTTTTTTTTTCACTATTTTTGACTATGAGTATAATTAATGGTTTACGGCGAATGATATATCGTTTACCCGGTAAAAGATTTGGATTCTATAGGTAAAAGTTAATATAATTTTTGGATTTAATTTACTGTTTCTTTTTAATTTTTAGATTTTTGCCATTTTTTATGTTAGCTGGTGCAAGTATAGAATATTTAATGATAACCTGGAGTCCATTTGATGTAAATTTTTACGAAGTATACAAAAGAAAAGAAGCTAAAAGAATTGCAGCTGAAAAATTAAATAATAAGTCTTAATGTCTGGGAGTATACCACTTGGGCTATATGTTAAATATTCATTTATGGCCTTAGTATCTATGATGGTTGGATCACAGATTGTTCATAACCATTTCAAACCGTTAGATGACTTAGAAGATTATGTAGAAAGAGAGTTTGAAAAATTAAAAAATGATAAAAATAACTGAGAAAAATTAATTTTTATTTAGTATTTTCAATAATAAATAGAATATTAATTTTATGATCATTTTTTTGATACTTTATTAAAAATCTTTAATTTTTTTTTTCTTAAGAAAATAATGGTTATTTTAAGTTTATTTTATTATAATTTTATCATTCTTGAAAGGTATACTAAATATATTTGTTAAAAATAATTTAAACCAGATTTTTATTCAACTTTCTTAATTTTCTCATTTTATTTAATTATTTTAAAATAAAATATCTTCGAGTGTATATAAATGTAATTCAAATAATGTAGTAATAATTTGATATAGTATTTCAGAAAATTTTCTATTTAATTATTTAAGCATAAGCACAATTAGATTTAAATTTTCATTGCTTCTAATTGTATTTATCCTATTATCAAAGTATTTTTAACTATATTTTAAGTATGTATAACAATGTATATATTTCTTAAAAATTTTGAGGAGAGATTAGTACTTGCGCTTATGTATCAGGGTAAGATCCAGTATTTTCCAGGGATACAAATATTTATTTCTATGTTAATTTTTGGCAATTTTATCAGTTAGAAAACCTTTTTCCTTTAAATTTAGTAGACGATCATTTTTGTTGAGGAGAAATGTCACTGCAGAGTCTACATCGTCAGAACTCAATTGTAAATATAGATACATCATCAAGCACTTTAAGCAACTATTTATGAATTTATAAAAGTTTAAAACAAAGAATTTTATATTTTTAAATTGCTAAATAACATATAAACCTATAACCAAAACTATATTATAAATATTAATTTAAAACTATGAAATATTAAAAATATTTAACTCAAAAAGCCTCTAAAACAATTGTGGATACGTATTTCGGGAACAATGTTACCACTGTGATAATAATGGTAAGATATGTTACCTTATCTTTTATTATATAACATATAAATCTAAAATCTCTAGTAATTTAAGTAGTTGTTTAAGCTTTAATTACTGTTTAAAAAATAAATACAAATTTGTCATAAGCATTCCTTGTATGATGTTGATGATATATTTTATTTAAATTCTCATTTTATTTCCTAGAGATAAGTATGTATTTTGTCGTAAAAAAAAATCTTTTATGAAAAAGGATCTGAATATAAAATTGTATTTTATTGAAGTAGTATAGTTTAGGTAAACGATACAATAAATGTAGTTAAAATATTCTCTTAATTAAATGTTAAGGATATCATTTTAAATAATTTAATGTCAAGCTGCTAGATATTGAGTTTTAGATGTAATAATTTTACTGAGATATACCTAATATTAATAAAATTAATATCTCTCTATATCTAAATGTCCATTCTAAATAGACCTTGTTGAAAATAGTGGATAAAATATGAATAGTAATAAAATTGGCTATTATGAATTGAGTTAGAAAAGTTAAACAATTAACCTTTTTATAGAAAAGTGAAGAAAAAAATAAGCACATAATCTACACTTAAATTTATTTTGTTTTTCATATTAAATAATATTTTAATATGTTTATAAATCATACAAGAACTATAGCAACATGTATGAGCAAAAAAATACAAAGATTAGATTTTATTAATTACATTGATTTAAACAAAAAATTATTTATACATATATAATATATATACACATCTTTGAAGTTTACATAATTTTCTAATGGACCTATGGATACTATAGAAGTGCATAATTATGTTTTATGCGAATAATTAAATAGATAAAAAAAATGTTCTTAATAAATCATCTGTTTCTAAAATATATTTTTTTAGGGAGAAAGCATATTTATCCTTGGTGTTCTAATAGATACTAATGCATATAAATTATCCATTTGTTACAAACAAATTCTGCTTTAATTTTGGAACTATTTAACACAGCAGTAATAAATTAATATAGTTTATTTAAACAACAATGAACTTTATAATATCCTTAGGTCTTTAAGTTAAAAATAAGGTTTTAAATTTTTATTCATAATGTATAAATATTTTTATATATGACATCAAGTATAAATCAATTTTATATTATACAAAAATTGAATGAAGTTGCTTTAATAGTTTTTATATACGAAAGCATATAAATATATATATTTACAATGAGCAACTCACTATTTTTAAATATACTAATTCAAAAATAAAACTCACAACCGTTAATTTATAATCTGTTTAATTGGAGATTTTAATGGTTATTCTCTTTATAAAATTCAGTTAATTTAAGTTAGGAATTCTCAAAATTAATTATATTTATTATGCATTGATTGCTTAAGTATTTGCTTAATATTAAATGAATTTTTTTTTTTTTTCAAAAGGTTGGCCTAATTCAAAAGAAGTATCATAAATTTGCAGAGTACCTTTTGATTTATGGAAGACTACCTAAACTTCTTCAATCCTAATATATTTTGACTTTACTGTCAAACTATGGACGGAGATTAAATATACCAATGACGTCTATCGGCTAGGTTGTGGTTCATTTACAGAAGCTGCAGCTGCTGTAGTTGGGTCATACTCCATAACTTCTTGATAGATTAGATCTTTCCATTGATCTACAGTGTGTTCACGTTCATCAACTGAATGGTCCCATGGTCCCGGTGCTGGTGCATTAACTTCACTCTCATCATACCATACATTGATATAAGGATGTAACAATGCATCATCAACAGATATTCGTCTTTCTGGATCAATAACTAACATCCGAGACAATAGATCACGTGCTTGGCTTGCTGTTTAACAAATTAATGTCATTGTTTAAGCAAAATTAAATAAAGGACCCAGGAAAATAAATACACATTACCATAATTTTTTGTAATAAAAAATAAAAATAATAATTTATTCAGGATTATTTATGATTTTTTTAATGAAAAATTTTTAAAAACATAAAAAGCAAAGAAATACTGTAATCATTAACCTTTAAGTTTATTATGTTCAGAAGAATCTGATGGAAACAATACATCTGGAAACAGTCTATCAAAAGAATAACCAGGATAACGTGGCCTATTTTCTACATAATTACGAACAGTTGGTTGCAATCTTCTCATAAATTCTTGAGATGGTGTACCAAGTTGTTCTGTGGATGTAAAAATAAGAAATAGTTTAATAATAATTATTTGTTTTATAAAAAATATATCAATAATGATACATATTGTCACTGTGAGTTGAGGTTTTTAATGTGAATTTTGCAGGAACCACATTTCTTCAGTGTTCATGTATTTCAGAATAGGCCAATGGAAACTGGAAATCATGTTTTCCATCTCCATTCACTGTATCTGCATTACCATGTTCAAATTTTTGAATCTGGGGAAATGAGAATTAAAGGACAATTATGGAAATAAATTGTATCTAAAACGAGAAACCGTTTAGGCAGACAGCGATAATTTTTTGAAGATGAACATGAAAATGTAGAAACAGTAAATTTGAGATTGTTATAAAAACATGATTTTAAATTTTCTTTGACCTATTTTGGATGACATAAACACTGAAAAATGTGGTTCCAGTAAAGTGGTATTACCTATCACTGTGTATGTTGAGTGAATAAAGGGGTCAATTGTACAATATGTATTTCACATTTAATCCTTAAAACATAGTGAAACAATATGTATCATTAATTTTGTATAAAATATTATTTATAATATAATTTTTTATAAAATAAAAATAATCTACAGTAAAATTAATAACTGACTTCATGAAACCCTCTATAATTAGCTATTTAGACATGATATAAAAGACATCTTTTAATTTTTGTTGAAAAATTCAATATTATAAAACAACCAATAATTATTATATATTAAAGTATTATTTTATAGTTGTAATAAAGACATTTTTAAACAAATTAATAAAAATGCAAGTTTTTAAATTTTTAGTTTACTTATAAAATTGGAATATATTTTAGTATGAATAACTAAAACACAATTAGCCATTTTAATATTGTTGCAAAAATCTTAAGTTAACACATTACTTATAAAGTAGATCAACATACATACAAATTGTTGTATTTATTAAATAAAATGTAATTAAAAAAAAAAAAAATTATTAATCTATAGTTTTTTCAATCAATATAATCTACTTTATTTGATATGTGTCTTTATTGATTTTGACAACTGTTTTAGTTGAAAAAAATCAACTTAAAGTTTAATAAAATGTAAAAACTAAATTTATTTTAAAAATGAGAGTAATAAATTGAGTTAATTTATATTAGGATCTTCTTAGCCATTTTAAAATCAATCAGGTTTTATGAAATCTAACCTGAAGAAAATATTATTAAGAAAAAAATTATTTTAAAGATACACACCAATAATTTTATTCCATTGATCTATATGATCAGTACCAGGAAACAACACTCCTCCTCTTATCATTTCTCCCATAATACAACCTACTGACCATATATCAACATTTTCTTTGTAACCCATACCTAATATGACCTTTAAAGAAAAAATTGCAATTTATACTATTTAGTCTAATTTTCAAATATATTACTTCTGGTGCCCTATAGTATCTTGTAACAACATATGGTGTCATCATGAATGTTGTTCCAGCAGTTCTTGCCAATCCAAAATCTAATATTTTCAATGTACAATCTGATTTTACAACAATATTGCTAGGTTTTAGGTCCTTAAAAAGATTAACAGTATTGATAAAAATCTTACAGAGTAGTTTTTAAAATATATTAGTCAAAATTTAAATATTTTTGAAATTATAACAATCAAACAATTAGGACGATATTACTTTTTGCAATATTTGATAATCCAAACTTTAAACAATAATTAAATATTTTAATAGATAAAAATAAAAAAAAACCCAGCACAGGGGGGTTGCGGCACAGTGGTGCTGTGATGTAGTTGGATCAAGTATAATGATATCTGACAGTGATTAAAATCACTATCAAAAATAAACGCTTCGATGCAAATCTTTAGATTGTGTTTATTTTAAAAAAATTGATGTATTATTCCAAAAGCTACATGATCTGCTAGTTCCTTATTAATTAATATCTTAATTAAGATAAAGTATGTCGAATGAAAAAGGGATTATTAAAAATATTATTTCTCATGAAAAATTGTATTGATCCAGGTCAAATTTTTTTTTTTTATTAAAGTATATTACATAAGCTTTAATTTAAGATATATATAAAAGTGTCAGACTTTCCAGAACATTTTCAAAAGTTAAGTTGAAAAAGTTAATTTTTTGTGAAAAAGTTGTCATTTTAAATCCCCCCCTATGGCCAGATAAAGGGTAAGATTTACAAAAAAAATATATACTAAATGATAGGTAGACATCAAGCATCTAAAAAAAAAAAAATTATATTAATATGTTCATTTTTGAAAAAGTTACGGCCGTTTTTATTAAAATTTTTTTCGAAAATTAGCGATTTTTAAATTTGTAATTTTTTTGGAGGTTTCCCCCATTAACGGGGAACGAGGCAAATTTTTTCAATTTTTAAGGGTAATATCTTCGACTAGATATGATTTGTGATCTTTTGACGTATCGTTGAAAGAAATCCGTTCGGTGAGAGCTGAGAAAAAGTGGTAACAGACACAAAAAAAAAATAAAAAATAAACACATCTAAGTAAAACCAATTCACATTGAAGCTAAAATAATATGCCACTTTTCAACACAATAATCAAACATAACTTTTAGATTATCATTAGATATAATTTAAGACAAAAATATATTTAGGACAATCTGTGATAATATTGAACTGTTTGGAAAGTTGATAATAAATATACTCTGATTATTGTATTTCAATACAATTTACCTCTACTAAAAATGTAGGGAAGTTGTATAGTATGCTACTCCTGATTACAGGTACAAAGTCGCTATCTTTAACTAAATTTTTTTTTTCAAATAGTATAACCATAATATTTTGAAATTTTTATGTACTTACACATACTCCATTATTTATGGGGTATTATAATATAGAAATATTATTTGTTTCATTAAATAGATATAATATTAAGATTAAAACATCATATTTCATTGTCATATTTGTTTTTATAGTAATAATTAAGAAAAATTATCATTATATGTTATAATGTTATATTAACTTTTACTTACTCTATGAATTATTCCAGCTGAATGTAAGTGCTTTATACCACACAACATTTGATACAACAAGTATGACATTCGCTCATGATCTAAATCCATTTGAATAACCTGACAAAGGTTTGCATCCATAAGCTCCATTACTAAATATACATCTTGAAAGTCATCTAATGTTCTTTGTGGAGTAAATGCATTCAACAAACCAATAATCTATAATGTAAGATCATTAAAATAAAAATTCATTAGTATTAAAATTAGAAAAATCACATAAAAATTCATAGATAAAATGAAAATATTTTATTAGTAATTAATCAGTTAATCATATTTTTATATAACTATATTATTTAATAGAAATTAAAAATTAATAACAAATTTCAATATTATTAAATAGCCAATTTTCTTCCCTGTAGAATTGGACAGAAAACATCCACAGTCGTTCTGTCAGTAGAATGAGGGGATAATAAAGATTGTTTCAAATCAACAGCCACTGTAAAAATTTTTCAATAAGTATGAAGATCTTAAACAAAATATAGGCACATTGTCTTATCTCTGATGTATGTGGAAAGAATAAATGAGAGGAAATAACACAACTAGAGGCAGTGGAAGCCTAAAGAATAGTGTATTAGCTAGACAGCTTATAGAGTAGCAGTCTTACTAGATAAATGTACAGGTTTATTACCCAAAACATGTGGTTTTAACGGTGTAAAGACATCACCACAAAAGTTTAGGGTTAACACATGTCTAAATGCAACAAATAAATACATGAAGTATATAAGATTATAAGAATAGGTACATAGATTGTTAGAACATTAACTAACAGGAGTGAAGAATTAGTAGAAGTATTGAAGAAAGAGAATATTAACATTTTTTGTGAACAAAAACTAAATGTAAAAGGTAGTAAGCAAGGGAAATAGGAGAAGGTTATAACCTTTTATAATTATAAAATAGTATACTTAGGTAAGACAATAAGAGTGGGATTAATAGATTATAAATTATTTTATGTGGAAGAGAAAGATAATACAACACAACATAGATAATGATAATGGAGATATTGTATATTTTGAAAAATAAAACGAACATGGGAAGAAATTCGAGGATTAGATTATGGGGAAAAAAAAAAAAGAAGAGTATGTAAGACGGTGTTAACAAATTATGAAAATATGAAAAAGAGATAAAAAATGTATTTTGAAAAATTACTGAATTAGGAATATCCAAGAAAATGCTTTAGAATATATCTTGTAGAACAAAGAACAAATAAATTTAATTAATGATGACGAGGAGGTGTAGAGGAACCTGTGAAATCAATGAAAAAAAAAGTAGAAGACTTGATAAAGTGCTATTGAAAGTGTAGAAAAATTAAGAAATCTACAGCTTAATGTTCTATTTTCTATATTAATAGTCAAATTACTAAGGAAATACAAGAAGAAGTACTTAGTGCATGTTGTTTGAAGATATTGTTAGAAGAGAATAAGGAGGAAGTTAACCAAAGGCTTGAAATGTGAAGATTAGCTCTTGAAAGAATGGGATTAATGATTAGTAGAAGTAAGGCGGAATGTATAGAGTATGAATTTGATGAACAAGAGGACGATGAAAAAAGGAGAGTAATGACAATAAAACAAGACGTGATAGGTGAGGTGGAAATTGTTTTAAATATTTAGGATTAAATGTACAGAAAAACAGTGGTAATGACGAGGATGTAAGATATAGGATTAAGTACGAGTGGATAAAATCATATGGTTTTTTTTTAATTTATTTGATTACATGGCTTGGTCATACTGTAAGAATAAAAAAAATCAGAAGCTAAAAATTTTTTTATAAAAATGAATGTTGAAGAAAAGGAAGACTGAAAAGAAGGGGTCGGATGTAATTAGGAGTAATATGAGACTCCTAATCTGTGTATAGATAATATAGCAATTGTGGAGGTTTAGAATATGAGTAGCTAACTCAAACTAGTTAAAATAAAGTTGAGGGAAAAAAGAAGAAAAATATTGATAACCAATTTTACATAAAGAAGTCAAAATAGAAACTTATACAACTAAATTTATGAGATGTTTACAATTTGAATTTTATTTATTTATTTGTGTTAACCCATTAATACATGGTAATGTTAAATATTTCATCATTAGGTCAAAAAAAAATTATTAATATTATTTGTTTTACATATTATTCTAAACGTATGTATAAAAAATAATAATAAAAATATAAAAAAGAAAATTATGAACTTAGTGGGTTAAACTAAGATCAGAAAAATGGAAAAATTTAAGTTGTGTCACTCCTCTTTATGGTGATATATGGAATTTAAAGATGACAAAAGATATTACCCATTGATAAAAATGTATAGATAATATATGAACACTTCAGTTCAAAACTGCAACAACTCAAAAAATTAAATTTTTAGTTTTGATCTTAATTTTTAGTCAATTATTCAACATTTAAAATTTATAAATTCAATACAATATTAGTAAAGTATTTTCCAAAAGAGGATGTTTTAAAATTTAATTTAACATTTGAAATAACATGAAAAATCTTTTTTAAATCATTATACTGGAAAATATGATTTTTAAAGTTGTTGCAGTTTTGAACTAACGTATCAATATGGTCTAAAAACTAAAACTAATTCAGTTAAAATTCTCAGATGTATGTATTTTTTGTCCCTAGGCACCCATTAAAAAAAAAATTATAACAACACACAACTTACATTTTTGTGATTAACTAATTTCATAAGTTTGAATTCTCTATATGCTCGTTTGGCATGTGTAACATTTTGAAAAGGTCTGGATAGTTTTTTTATAGCAACGCTTTGTTGGGTTATTGTGTCCATAGCAGCACTGTTAAAAATTTAAATAAATTTAGTTTTAATAATAAAAATATAATTCAATACTTACACAACCATGCCCTGAGCACCTAGACCTTTAGGTACAAGATTAATATAACGTCTGGGTACTGAAAATTCAGTATCACCAAATACTAACGTATAAAACATATCATTAGCTTCAGCTTTAGTATCTGGTTCGCCTTGAGGTGCTTGAACAAACCTCGATTGTGTTCCGAGCATAGTGTAGATAAGCTCAAAATCAACTTTACCAAACAAAAAAAAAAAAAAAAAGTGCAACTACAATAAAAATCAAATAATAATAATAATAACCTACTAATATCTCAATCAGCTAATGGTGCTTTACATGCATATAATTTAAAATAAAATGCTAGATGGGTATTTACATACTCATCATTAAGCAGATGCAAAGTTATAGTTTTAACATATACTTTTTTTATAAAAAAAAAAAACAATTTTTTTCTTATATATATATATTATAAAATAATTTTTACTTAAAATGCACTAACATAAGAGCGCAATACAAATAATTAGGACTTAAAGTTTATTAAGATACTGTTTTTAGTTATTTTTTTATTTAGAATTATACAAACTTTTATTAATTAACGCCACAAATCACACAAAAATAACTTTTATTGGTTTTACCATTTCGTGTTATTTTTGTGTCTATTTATACAAATATTTCGCTCCTACTGGACCTTTTTTTTTCGATGATATTTTATAAGATCACAAATCATATCTAATTGAAGTTAACACCGCCATCTTTGAAAAAAATTGACCTTAATTTCAATAATAAAGGGTAATTTCTAAATATTGTTTTTTTCAATTATTGATAATGTTCCAAAAGAACCTCTGAATTTCCGATATAAGATAAAATATCTGAGTTATCAGATGAATAAGCATTTATTGATTTGTAGAAAAGGTATGATAGAGAACCGAGAGAGGTTTAAAGTGGGCATTAATGATAAAAGGAGTCCCGAAAAAGTACATTAATATAATAGAGGTATTAAAGACACAGGATTAAATACGGATGGTTGATGTGGAGAAAAGCGTCCGGTCTGTTGGGCGATAAAAGAATTCCAATGAAGCTGATAAGACAGTTCTATAAGACTACAGTGAGACCAGCAATGATGTATGGATCAGAATGTTGGGCGATTGACAAGAAAAAAGAGCTAGCAAATGAGTGTAACAGAGATGAGAATGCTTAAATGGATGATTGGAGTAACTAAAAAAGATAGGATAATAACGAACATATAAGAGGGATTAATGTCCTGAAAATTTCGAATTATCCTAAAATTTTTTATTCAAAACACGAACAAAATTAAGAACTAATATAATGAAAAAAATATAATGATGAGTATACTCTATACACATATATTATGTGCATAGTCGAATTTTTCAAGGTAGCTTTTCATATAATTTATGGTTATAACTCGTAACTGCTCTTATATCTTTTAAAAATAACATAGAATAAATGTTTTTTTTGTCATTTTTTGGACTTTTAATAACAAAAGATTTTTATAGAATCATCAAAATATTAAAGAAATAATCTTTAAATAAACTGTGACTAGATAATAAATATTAATAGGAATAATAATTATTTTGAGAATTATAAAATAAATGTTTAGAAATTCATACTTGACTTCTTTTTTCATACTACAATAATCATTACTCATGCTTGTCTAATATATTCTTTATGAATTAACTTACCAGACAATTCCTTGAGCGCCAGATCCAATTGGTTTTAAATTTTGATACCTTTTCAAAATCGTGAATTTGGTATCACCTACCTCCACTGTAAAAAAAATGGAGGAAGACACACGTGATGTCATCCTAGAATTAATATGAGGCATACGAATGACGTCTCGTGATGGAAATTCAAAGTTTTCTTATTTTTGTAAAAGTTTAAATCTAAACAAAAAACAAAAAAAAATACTTTAATCCACAAATTATTAATTGAGACGTTTCGGTAAGGATGAAAAATTTCAAAACTGATTTAAAATAGTTAACCTGTGGCGAATAGACATTTTGGGTCTGAAACTCCCATGGACATAAAATCACGGTATCGGCGTGTAATAGAGAAATGATAGAACATTAAAATACTCTAGTTATTTATTATACTAAATAGACCAAACATGAAGTGGTATAGTTGGTATATAGATAATATCTGACAGTAATTAAATAACAATCATAAAAAAACGCTTCATGTAAATCTATAAATAGTTGTATACAATTGAACCTTTTAATATTGGCCACGCGATTTCTTTTAAAATAATAATTATATTATAAAATTCTTTTTTGATATTTTTAAATTTATCCTTTTAATGCTAACTTGATGAAAACTAATTAAATAAAATGTGTATATCAACACAGTTTTTAATCAGCGTAATTAATTTCCCAATAAGCGCCATAATAGAAACCCAGCACAAGGGGATCGCGGCACAGTGCTGTCGTACTAAGCGAAAACAAGATAACTCCAGTCAACATGATTTTTCAGGAACACAAAAAAACATTTTTAACAGTAAATCAAGATACCCTTTTTTTCCACAGTATGAACATAAGTCAAAAGACGGTAACTTCATTATTTTTTATGTGATATACCAAGTTTTTGCTTAGTATTTGGATTTACCATGTTTTCGCTTACAAAACATCAAATATATTGATATTACCGTATATTTTCTTATTTTATATTTCAATTTTAGATTGGTTTTAATAGGAAATATGCTATTTTTACATCAAAAATCGGTGTAAAACCACTAAATATACCTATAGAAACAAAAAAAAAAAAGTTTTTTAATTTTGGAGTTATCCTGTTTTTACTTAGCACGGCAGAGTGGTGACGCGGCATAGTTGGATCAAGTATAATGACATTTGACAGTGATTAAAATCACTATAAAAAAATACACTTCGATGCAAATCTTGATAGTGTTAAATTTTAAAAACGGTAGCACAGTGGGGTCGAGGCACAGTGTGAACAAGGCATAGATGGGACAAGTATAGATGATATCTGACAGTGATTAAAATCACTATCATAAGAAACGCTTCGATGCAAATCTGTAGATAATGTTTCCTTTAAAGAAATTGGTGAATTATTCCAAAAGCAACATCAACTCTTATTTCTTTAATTATATCCTGATTAGTAATTATTTGATTTTTAAATATAATATATGAATAAATACTAATTATAGTTTTTAAATTTAGTATGAAATTGTGAGGCCAGCTATGATGTATGGTTCATAGTGTTGGGCGGTTGATAAGAAAGTAGAGCAGAGAATAAGTGTAGCAGAGATGAGAATGCTTAGTTGGATGAGTGGAGTGACTAGAGAAGATAGGATAAGGAACGAGCATATAAGAGGAAGTATAGGTGTTGCGTCAATCGTGGATAAGATGACAGAAAATAGACTTAGATTGTTTAGTCATGGTATGAGGAAAGAAGAATCGAAAGCTGTAAGAACAGTTATAGAAATGAATGTTGAAGGAAGAAGAGATAGAGGAAGACCAAAAAAGAGATGGAGGGATGCTATTGAATGCGATTTGAGGACAGCTGATGTGAGCGTAGAAGATGTGGGAGATCGTGTCAAGTGGAAGCTTAGGATAAGGGTGGCCGACCCCAAGTAGTTGGGATTAAGGCAAAGAAAAAGAAAAATATTACCAGAAATTCCGGTGGCAATTGACATAATATGATTGTAGTTTCGGAATGTACAATTTAGCGTTTAGTTGGGTTTAAATAATATAGCGTCAAATCAATTACCTACTCTATCGCTTGTATATTAATATACACTACACTTTAATGATACAATAAATAAATAAACTCACACATACACACATATGCATTTATAACATTGTGTCTAACGTAAGTGTAACATGATAAAAAGTAACAGTAAAATTAAAAAAATGGAATATAAATTTTACTACTCATATTAAATGTAATGTAACTCGAAAAATATTTGTTTAAATGAAAAAATATAAGAAAATTTTTTTGTTTATAATTGTCTTTTAAACAACTTTTGTACAAAACTTTTTTTTGTAAGTTAAATATTTTTGAGAAAATTAAAAAAGCTCATATTTTTGAACTTTTGGGATGCTATAAAAAAAGCTCAATTCCAATCAATGAGGACTATTAGTATGTCATTACACATATTTTAATTCAACTTATAAAAAAACAAAATTTGGTTGGGAATNTATTTTAATTCAACTTATAAAAAAACAAAATTTGGTTGGGAATTTTTCCGCAATTTTTTCTTTGTTGACTGGCCTAGATGTCAATTTTAAACTTGTAATTGAGCTAAAAGTTATGGTAATATATTCAATTTTTTTACTTTAAACTTACATAAATCTTTATCAAAATTTTTTCATCAACTTTAAAGAACAAAAAAAATAGGTTAAAATTGAAAATTTGGACTGATAATTTTGAACATATTAAAAATCAAATCAGTAATAATTTGAAAACAAATTTTTTTTCTTTCAATTATTATTTTATATATAATTAGTAATAATATAAAAAATTAGAAGTGATAGAAAAAGTCTACTTGCAGATTTGAAAGCAACGCGAAAAGTTGATTTAGAAAAGTATATTTTTGCTTCTGATGAAAGTTCCTTGATGTCCAGTGCATTTTTTTATAGTAACAAACAGTTTTTTAATATATTTTATTCTTAATTTAAAATACTTAATTGTTCTCCATTTATTAAAAAAAACTTTTGTTTTGAAATTTTAGCATTTAATAATTTGGTGCGTGTTAGTATTAGCAATGCTCTAATTTTACTGTTAACCACAAATAAGATTACTAATGAGTTGCGCACTCTTCTTGCTTCGAATAAAAAACTATAGTTACTCATAAATTAACATATCAAAATTGTTTACAGAGCCCAAACAACATTTTATTTACTTCATTCTCCATTTAATTGTCTAAAACTCTATAGTTCCCATTTAACTTTTAATAGTTATCTCTTATCTTAAAACTTTTCTTAAAGAAATCAATAATATTAAACGAATCATGATAAATAATATTTAGGATGGTTCGTAAAAATAAATAAGATTCTATTCAGTACATTTTAATGAAAAAAAATTTTTTTTTTACATAAATATTTGAGGTAATATCCACAATAAACCACATTGTGTAAGATAAATATATAAAAATAACGACATTGAAAAACATAACATTATACCAGTAAATTTAATAATAACATATTCATGATTATTTTAAAATAAAATTTTACATAAAAAACTATTTATAAAAAGAAAAGAAAATGTGCATACATTTTAAATTGTGTAAAGATGTATATGCACAAATATATACTAGGGTGTGACTAAAAGTATTGGTTACCACGTGGTATAAAAGAGATCAATAAAATAAATACACTTAAACGACTCCTTTCATTATAATTCATGAGATCCAATTTCTTTTTTATACTTCATTAGCTAAGAATTAATATTAAATTTTTTGTAAGTTAAATATTTTTTGAGAAAATTAAAAAAGCTCATATTTTGGACTTTTGCGAGGCTGTAAAAAAAAAGCTC